AGGGTTTAGGGCCTAGATAATTACCTACTATTTTGGGGGGTTCCTCATGATAGTTGTAGTATCATGGGCCCCAAAACCCTATTCTAGTTTTTGAGGCCCCTGCATTACAAGACTCTGTAGCCAAACGAAAGTGACGAAAATGGATCTTAAACCAAGCCCTAGATTCCCATGAGGAAGATTCCAACACCCGGATGAACTTACGCAGGGACGACTAGAAAACCTTAACCCCCAAAACCCTAAATCAGAATGGCTAAGATCCTAGACCCAAGACCCCAAATCCTGAGCCCCCTCAACTCCTAAACCCTAAATCAGAACGCCTAAGATCCTCGACCCTAAAGCCTAAACCACTCTAAACCCCAAATCCTAAGCCCCATACATTCCAACACTGCCCCCCCCCCCCACTCTCGACAGCTCCAACCGGCCCAAAAGGCTCGGCTCTGGGGTTTAGGGTTTAGGGTTTAGGGTTTAGGGGTTTAGGGGTTTAGGGTTTAGGGTTTAGGGTTTAGGGTCTCTTATACTAGCAGCCAGAAAGTTGGAACAGTATTGTCTTCATGCCCTTACGGCAGATAAAGTCTCAGGAATCCTAGGACTAACCCTAAACCCTGAAGCCCTGCACCCTCATGGTCCTTAAGAGGCTGTTGTTCAACGTTCTGGTGCCTGCTGTACATCTTACCGGCTCAGGCTTGGGATTTAGGGTTGCAGTGTTTAGGGTTTAGGGGTTTAGGGTTTAAGGTTTGGGGATCTAGGGATTTAGGGCTTGAGGCTTGGAGTTTAGGGTTTTGGGTTTTAGGCCTTGGGATTGCATGGGCCCCAGAAGCCCCGGCCCAGAAATCCCTGTAGCACTCTCTCGACTGAGGCTTAGGGTGTAGGGTTAAAGCCTAAACCTTCAGGCCCGCTACCTCTTCGAAAGCCGTTGGCAAAAAGTTCGGATGCTGCTCCTTAGCCCTGTCCACGTCCGGGTTAGAGCCCCTGACTTCCTGAGGATTTACGGTGGTGCCATTACATCAGGGGCTACTTCTTCGGGGTTCGGGGCGGGAATTTCGCCGTCCTTTCTTGATGAAACTAAACTCCGGGTGCAGGGCTTAAGCATCTGATTTCAATCATCATGGGGGGAGAGAGAAACTTGAGGGGGGGTTGTAAACCTGACACTGTGAAACTGTATGGGTAGTAAGGGTCCCTTCTAGGGTTCATTTTGCAAGGGTGCCGAACTATTTGGGGGGCCCTAAAAGGGGATCCTGATTTGGCTCAGAAATACTCTGATCTCTACGTGTAACAACAGCATTGAAACTAGCGCTGCCTCTTGGTTTGGGCCCCGGTGAGACATCGCTAGGAGCTGCAATCTTGCTTAAATGGACACCTTGCACTCATGCGGAGGGAGTGGCAAGGGCCCGCACGGCCATCTGGATGCGGTGCACCGTCTCTTCATCATCTTGCTCTTCGTTCCTCGGAGCATCGGCTCTATGGTTTGTATAGTTTAGGGTCGAGGGTTTTAGGGCATGTCCTGACAGCACAAACCCTAAGCCCCAACGCGAAGCGCAAGGCCTGACTTGTCGAAACCTGGGAGCTGCCTGGTATCGTCCTCCGACAAATGATGCAAGGGATCGGGGTTTAGGGTTTAGGGGTTTAGGGTTTAAAGACATCACGGAAGGTCCGAACAAGCCGAGACGTCTCGTCTAGCAGCCGTTTGAGACGCCACACATGCACACAAGAGCACGCGCACACACACACACACCTACACTTTCTCATCACTAACCAAAAAACGTGAAACAAGAGCACACTGCCAACCTGGTGCGGCAAAGACCCTCTCGAGCAACCGTGCGTAAGCAGAGAATCGCCTAATTGCGCATCCCATCCACCCACGCTAGGATCACAAACGCATCGACCGACGATAGCTATGTAGTTGCTCCTGATAAACAAAGATCTGTATAGTTGTGCTGGCAATGATGGTCGTCGTTGCTCTTGACACAGCACCCACCACGACGGCGACGACGATCGCAACTCTCACTACCACTTCTGCTGCTCATCATCATGATGACGACGATAACAAAGATGGTAGTGGTGGTGACGATGGCGAGCATCAAGTGTTCAGCTCATGCCAACCGATGGACGGCGAACGGCGACAACAGTAGAAAACGTGGGGGCCTTAGTAATTAATTCGAACAGGGCTTTTTGTACTAGAACTTGAATATAATTCGAATCAGGACCCCTAAGGAATAGTGGTATAAATTCTTGCGACCGTTTTCTAGACTGATAGGCCCGGATACTAATCCTAGCTTAGCTTTGCATCTCCGGGTGGCATGTTGAGGCCCATGGCAAATTGGCGGGCCAGAAGGCTCATGCGCCTCGTGGTGTGCGGTTGGGGCCAGGCTTGAGGGTTTAGAGCTTCGGGACTTGCTTTTTGGGGGCACTTAGGGTTTGGAGTTTAGGGTTTTCGTTGGCTCGACGGACAGAGACACACCCACGCATCTGCTAACTCGCGGCCCTACACTACACCCTGAATCGCAGAGAAAGCGACTGAACCCTCCCCAAAATCTTCAGCAACTTGCGTTGATGCTTGAATGCAAACCAGATTCTATCCCCCCAATCATTCAGCTTAAATGCCAAGGGCGGGTTAAGTGCTTAGGGTTGAGCGGGTTGAGTCCTAGATCTCCATTTGAGGAAGGCTCCTTCGCTGCCTCCTCTGCGAAGCCCGCCCAGGGGCTCGCGAGCTCCGTGGTCTTTTGCAGGATTTCCCCGCACACCAGCAGCCCGTCGTGGGCAATGGCCTCCGGCTTCTTGTAGCTCTGAGCCTCCTTGTCCATCTTCACTCCGAGTGCATGGGCCGCCAGGGCCATGTCTGTAAAGCCTTGGGCAGCTATCAGCCGGTGCTCGCCGACGAGCTTCCGAATGCAGGCCCTGAGCTCCTGCATGAGGTCTTCGGCTTTCCTCACTGCCGGGTAGACATCCTTGCCAAAGGCCCTCCTCACCTCGCAGGCTTTTTACAAGCAAAGCGTGCCCCAACACACCAGCTCACACACAAACTCTACATCCCGAGACCCCAGCACGAGACCCTCTCATGAACCCCCCCCAAAAACCATCAACCCCAAACACCCTAAACCCTAACCGCCAAAGACCCTAAACCTCCCAAGCCACTCGCAGAGACGCGAAGAAGCCCGAAAGCCGTGAGCCCCGAGCATGGAAACTGCAAGGCCCCCGAAAGAAACCCCGTTTACCCACCAGGCTCCAAAGCCCCGTAACTGGTCTGAAGTCCTAGATCGAAAGCTCTTCACCTCTAAATCCCTGCAACTGGGGTTAAGGGCCTTTAGGGGTTTAGGGGTTTAGGGTTCGGCGATTGGGGTTTAGGTAGGGTTTAGGGGTTTAAGGGTTTAGGGCTTGGGGTTTAAAGCCTTGCAAAGGTTCGAGGACATGAGCTACTCGACTCGAAGGCTTTGAAGGGGGGCCCCGCAAGCATAAGCCACAAAAACCCTCCCTGAAACTCTGAAGCCGAGGCCTCTGACGCCTCCCGCCTAGTGGTCGGGTGTGAATAAATGACAGGTCGTCTAGAGGGTTTAGGGGTTTAGGTTTCGGAGACGGGGGTTGAGTGTTTAGGGGTTTAGGGGTTTGGGGGTTTAGGGTTTAGGGGTCTGCCAAGGTCTTGTGATTGGCCTTAGCTGCCAGGACCCCTCAAAGGAACCCCAGTAGGAGACCCTCTTAAAGGAACCCCTTGAAGGAACCCTTAAAGGAACCCCGTGATTGGAACCCCTTAGTAGGAACCTCCTAAAGGAAACCCTTAAGGGAACCCCTCCCCTTAAAGGAACCCCTTAATAGGAACCCCTCAAACGAACCCTTAAAGGAACCCCTTGGAGGAGCCGCCTAAAAGAACCCGAAAAAGGCCTCGCCACCACGGGGTCGGCTTCCTCTTCAGACTCGGAGTCCTCCGCAAGGGGACTCGCTTCCGGGTAGCCTGGTGATGTCTTGAGGGTTTAGGGTTGCAGGGTTTAGGGTTTAGGGTGGCAGGGTTTAGGGTTTAGGGTGGCAGGGTTTAGGGTCTAGGGTTTCATAGTGGCCCTAGAAAGTACTACCTGAAAATAGATAATGCTGTCTAAGAACAGCTAAGAACATCGAGTCATGGTAACAAGTTCATAATCGTAGTCATATCTAGGACTAGCGAGTGACACCTAATGATAACAATAACAAACTGGTAATGGCTCCCTAAACCCTAAACCCTAAACCCTAAACGCTTGATGTGAGGTGTCTAGGGGCATCCCGTTATTCAGGTCAGGAGAGGGCTCAACAAAAGGATGGGGACAGGGTTCATCATATATACATATCTATATATATATATGTATGTATACACACATGTGTATGTATGTGTATGTATGTATGTATGTATGTATGTATATATATATATATGCATGAAATATGCTGCATATTATATATGACTATATACAAAGTTACATATTAAAATAGATTTGGGGTCAAGATATTTTGAACTTTTGAAGGCAACCAGAGAAGTGCACCCCAGGTCACGCGGATTCAGAGTTCAGGATTTGTATCGCTGAACTTCGGAAGATTCGGGGTTGTTGAGGTTGGCTGGCTCGGGGCTCAACAGGGCTGCGGGGTTGAGGAGTGGAGGGGTGTTGTTCGGTTTAGGGTTTAGGGTGTAGGACATTCAAGCATTCCGGAACCTTTATAGCACCCCCAAACCCCAGCTCGCATCTCCTCAAGGGCAGCAAGATCGGCGGCAACTCGGCTTGTTGGGTTAGGACGGTTAGGCTGCACGGAGACGTCGGCCGTTGCGAAGAAAGTACATTGTAAGTAGGAGTATTGCGGTACGGAATAGCAATTCGTGACATGGGACGAAGGGCTTGAGATCTACATGTCGTTGTTCCGGCCGTACCTCACCTCCGAGCCACAAAACCTGAACCCTGAAACACACACGGCTTCTTTGGAAGCCTGAGGCAATCTGGGGCTGTCTGGGCTTGGGGGGTCTTGTAAGCTTTGTAATGCAGCGATTGAGGCCCACGGGCTCAGGGCCTAGAGTTCAAGCTTTTGGAAAATCGCGTCTACTTCTTGGCATCCCCCTTCGACTTTACATCCTCTCAAATTGAAGCTCTAAGCAAAACTCATAAAGCCTACTAGAGAGAGAGGTTTGAAGTATCACCATTTGGGCCACTAGGTATGAACCAGCAAAGCCGACAAATCCCTGTAAATCCCCATTCTAGCTGGTGAGGTACTAGTATCCCTTTCTAGCTCATCGCTAAACCCTGAACCCTAAGCACCCTCAAAGCCGACCCAGCAGCCCCAAGCCCAAAAAGGTCCAAATGGCCCGGCAGTCCAGAACCGAATACATATACATACACACACATATATATAAAGATATATCGGATTACTTGTTTACTGATCTATGTATTTGTCTAGTTACCCATCTGTTTGTCTGTTTGTTTATTGGTTTATACTTATATTTATATTCATATGCATCTACAATTATATGTGTATGCATATAGATATATATATATACCTAACTACACAATCATTCATGTATATTATTAGCTTTTCATACTTACATTTATAATTATGTTGATACTGATAGTGATGCTTATATTGATATTTTAAACTCCATGTTTATTTATACTCATATTTATGCTTATATTTGTATTTACAATTTCGTAATTATACTTATATTTCTGCATCTGTTTATGTATTGGTATGTGTATATAGCGGCTTCATAGGGTTTGGCAGTAAGTTTGAAAGCTTCGTAGAAGGGTTGACAAAGGTGTTACAGGGTTCTGTACAGGGGCCTCAACCATTGGAATGGGCGGGCTTTGGAAGTATATTGTACCCTGGACCCTAAATCCTAAATCGTGGCTTCTACTGTAGTTGGCTTAGGGACGATCAGGGCATACTCCTAAACCCTAAACCCTAAACTGTAACAACCCAAACCTTGCCCACTCCACTCCAAAGACCATGCCCTAAACCCTGAACTGCCAACTTCAATCACTATAGGTCCTACACTCTAATCCTACGATCCTCGGTCCGAAAGAAGTAGGATACCGATTAGATCCCGAATCCCGAAACCGAAGCCGGAAAAAGGTGGAAAACCCTCAAGAACTTGACAAGCTGCTCCCCCGCTGCTGCTTCAGCCAAGCTCGGAGAGGGCAGCGCTGCAGGCGCGCGTGTTGAAGGGCCACCTTCAGGGCAGTCTCCGGCTGGTTTAGGGCGTTCTCGAAGGGTTTTTGGGTGAAAGTCTCAGAAGGGTTCGACCTGGGGTCGACTTGGATTGCAGTTTAGGATTTAGGGCGTTTGGAGGATTCACGGCTTCGGGGTTGAGGGTCCCAGGAAGTCGGGGTCTAAGGTGTACGGTTGGGCTGTAGGGTTTAGGGTTTTGGGTTTAGTCATCATACGATTCAGGCTAGTTGATTGCAGGGTGTGTCAGGTCTTATGCGTGGGTTTGATGCAGTGCTTGAGACATCTCGGAGAAGCACAAACAGCAATCCCTTGTTCTAGTGTTAGCTTTGGGGTGCGGACTAAACAGCTCAAAACCAAAAGTGCTCAGAGATGGACGCTTCCGAGAAGAGGAGAACTTAAGCAAGAACTGGAAGCCAAACAATTACTGCGTATGCTGTAGATAGCGGCTTTTTGGCAGAAGGCTTCAACGCTTTTGACAACAGTGTGTCTCGTGCTCCAAAAAACAAGCATCCTTCTGCAGTATGTCGCATAAAGTGGCGCAATGCTGTAAGCACCACTGATCCTGCACAAGGCATCAACGCTTGGACAGTGCGTCAATACTGTATAGACGAGCATTTTGGGAACGGTCGCCGTTAGAACCGACGTCACCCCCCCTCCCCAACCCGACCCCATCCCGTGGAATCATCCGAAACGTCCGAAAAATGCCACAAACCCCCAAAAAGTAAGACGGCGCCCCATGTGCCCGCTACCTTATAGAACCCCGTTCAATTACGAAGGCCCCCTATACACTACCCTTGCAGTAATCCTCAAAGGAAGCCTTCAAAGGAACCCTATTCGAGCTATGCAGGCCCTAAACCCTAAACCCTAAAACCTGAACCCTAAACCCTAAAACCCTAAACTCTAAACTCTAAACCCTAAACCCTAAACCCTCTGCGAGTTACGAAGGCCCCTTTTGGTTGCTACCCGCACCTTGAGGGAGCGAAGCTCCAAGGGAGCAGACCGCGGCGCCAGCTCCTTCGAACGTCTTGAAATTTCTAGGATGAAAGGACTGCTTCGCAGAACGTGCTTTGAAATCTGCGTAGATGTATGTGTGCATATCTATATCTATTGCTTATATGTTAGTGAGTATGTAGGTACGTAGGTACGTAGGCAGGTAGGTAGGTAGGTAGGTAGGTAGGTAGGTAGGTAGGTAGGTCGGTCGGTGGGTAGGTAGGTAGGTAGGTAGGCAGGCAGGCAGGCAGGCAGGTAGGAGGTAATTGAGGCCTCCATATGGAACCCGAAACCTCGCGTGCTTCACCCCTTGCACCAGGCCCGCGCAAACCACAAGGGCCCGCTTCCGAAATCCGAGCCTACTCAGCTTGAAAAGCAGGTTCAAGTCTTGCTTCAGATACCCAGATAGCTCAAGACCCCAAACCCTGAAACCAGAAATCCTATCCTACTTAAACTCAACTCTAGGTGCCGATGGCAACACCTAAACCTAAACCCAAACCCTAGCCCTACACTCTGAAAACCCTGATGCAACCCTTAAACGAGCCTGCAACATCCTGGAAAACCGCGTAGCAACCTTTTCGAGCCCGATATCCCGATGGTCGCCTCCCGATCTGGCGAGGACTGCCGGGACCACACACGCGAAGCGGCCTCTTTCGGGCTCGATGGCTTTGGGGCTTTGCGGTTTTGGGGGCTTTGGGGGCTTTGGGGGTTTGGGGGGCTTTGGAGATGTAGGGGTTTGAGGACTAGCGGCTAAGGCTTTAGGGCCTTCAGGGGTTTAGGAGACGGGGGCTTTGGAGCAGGGCTGTCGGGCTTGTGGCGCTTCGAGCTCGAGGGTCTTTGGGCGTTGGGTCTTTAAGGCTTTGGGTCTTTCGGGGCTTTGGGGTTTTTCAGCCCCGAGGATGCAGGAAATCGGGTTCAGTGCGTTTAGAAATTCAGGCTTCTCAGGGGCTTCTGACGACTTTCCGGTCCCTTCCTGTGGGCTTCGGGCTACAGGGAGCGACAGGGGTTCGTAGATCTCTACGGACTTCCCTCTAAATCTCTGTAGATCAGCGGGTTCGGGTTCACGGGTTTAGGGTTTAGGGCGTACGTAAGGTCCAGGGGTTGGAGGGTGTTTGACTCAACGTGCGAAGCAGGGACCACGGAGGAGCCTGTAGGATCCTAAAAGGGTTGAGGAAGTAATCAAGGTTCGTAAGACAACGGAGAGAGGGCTCCGAGGTATGCGGCGATAGAAGGCACAGGGGCTTCGCCGAAAACTAGTCTCATAATTCTTGAGCCTGTGCTTTTGAACTTCTTAAGGGATAGCAATTGATGCTTGGCAAGGCTGCCCTAGACCCTAAATCCTAAAGTCTGCACGGCTCAGACAGATGTCGCCAGGACTGTGGCAAGTGCAAACACACAACCACAAACAGATCCTGATAGTACAGGGGTCGGCATCATTAGAATAGGGGTTTTTGGGTAGATGATCGTCTTCCTAACAAGGACTATAGGGGTTTATAATCGGCGCTAATCTTGCCCAACCCACCTGCACAACAAGTCTGGACATTCTGCCCCTTCGACTCCAGCCCCTCAGCTCTCGGGTTCAGGGGTTTAGGGGTTTAGGGGTTTAGGGGTTTAGGGGTTTAGGGGTTTAGGGTTTAGGGTTTAGGGTTTTAAGGTTGCAACATACTAGGAGTTCCACTAAGAAGCCTTTACCGTAATGTAGGGGCCTTACTGATTAGACCGGGTTTTTGGGGCACATTATATTATAGTATAAACATAATAAGGAGCCCCCCAAATACGATAGGTAACTATTTAAGCCGTTTAGGCAGTCAAGCAAGTGGGATCCTACAATCCCTGAATAGAAGCCACTGCTCGAGTTAGAGCCCTGTCAGGGATGGCAGCAGCGTGGCCTCACTCGGTGCGAAGGTGGAGGCACCGTCGGCACCTTAGCAAAGAAGGAGCTCGGGTCGGTGCTTGGTGGTTGAGGCTTCTACAACGAAGGCTCTTCTGCGTTTAGAGTGCCTAAACCCTAAACCCTAAACCCTGAACCCTGAACCCTAAACCCTACACCCATAGGGCCACGGTTGCTTAGGCAATGTTGACTTCAAAGTAGTTGACGGTCGTGCTCCAGGGCTTAAAGCTTAAGGCCAGGGGTTAGTAGGCCGCCCCAGAACCCTTCTGCAATAAGCGCGTCCTTCTGCTGGGGAGGGCCTTCCTGACGGCACTCCGGCACGTCGTTTGTCATTACAGTGTGTCCGCTGACGGTCATATCTCACCTCCGAAGATAAGTGGTGGAGAGCCGGCCTGGGTACCGGCTGGAGCACAGATGAAAGCCTATATTGTTTTGGGGGTTCCTTATTATATTTAGACCATAAAGCACCCCAAAACCCTCTTCTCATTACTGAGGCCCCTAGATGAATGTTGTAGACTGCTGAGACCTCTACAGAGGTCTGAACTCTTCTTAGACCAGAGAAGCCTTGGTGAGTATGGGTAATGTGGAGGCCGGGGGGTGGCTACACTTTCATTCCCTAGGGTTCTTTACTGCAAGCATACTACTGAGGTACGCTAAAACCCCAGTCTAATTAAGGCCCTTGTATTATGCGCCTCAGTTGAGTGTTGGAAGCCCCATGGAAACATGGCCGCTCTCTTTGGATGGTATCTTCGCATTACAACTAACCCAGAGACCCTGGTCAAATTCCTAAGGCCCCCCCCCCTATTCGGGTAGCTTTGTTCGGGCTTGGCAGGTGCCAGTGTTGAAACCGATCAAAGGACTTCGCAAGTACGTGAATACATACTTTAATTGGAGATACTAGGAAAAATCGAGCGATGGTTGAATCTACTGAAAGCCCTACTTCATAAGTCCCCTGATCCCCTGATCCTCTAACTAGGACCCTATCCAGGGCTGAGGGATCGGAACTATCGGGCTTATAAGGTGAAGATTGCTGAAATCTGTAACAAGGATCCGAAAGGCGCTAATTACATCAGCTCGGGCCCCCTATCGCCAACACATAGCCTTTCGGCGTGTCACGTTCGGGCGTTTCGTCAATTTGGTTCAGGTTTTTGCAGCTTTGGGCTTTTGGGGCCGTCCTAAACCCTAAATAAATTGGGGCTACCCTAAACCCTAAACCCTAAGCCCTTAAACCCTAAACCTAAAATCTAGGGCGTAGGTCAGCCCCGGCGCCCACCGGCGATCCAACCGGGGAGGACTTCAGCTTCATGGCGTCCATGGAAGCCTTCATTGGTTTTGGGGTTTAGAGTCTAGAGTTTAGGGTTTAGGGTTTAGGAGTTTAGGTGTTGAGGGTTTAGGGATTGGGCTTCCATTGGGTTCGGGGTTGGATGGAAAAAAGTCTGCGGGTTGGGGGAGGGTTAAGGGTTTAGGTTGCCGGGAGAGGCGCCTAAAGACTAAAGCCTCGAAGCCGCGAGGAGGACCATGGATGTACATGCGTACCTTGGACGGATGTCACACCCCTTTCTTGGCTCAGGAGTTCAAGTCTCAGGGTTCAGGGCTACCTGAGAACGTTGACACAGCCCACAACTGCAAACTCTAATGCCTTTCGCACTCTTGATCGAGCGTCAAGGCCTAACCTCGAAATTCAGCTCGAAGCCCTAAGCCCTTAAAGCTGCGACCCTCAACCCCTAAACCCCAAATCCCTAAAACTGAAACCCTCAACTTCGACTTCGAGCCTGCACATCGTGAACCCAAGCACTGAACCCCCGAACCCCCTAAACCCCAGATCTAGGGTTTAGGGTTTAAGGGTAAAGCCCTAAATCTGAAACCCCTATACACCCCAAGTCCTTAAACCCCACACGCCGAAAACCCTAAACCCCTCACTTAAACCTCTGAACCCTCAAACCCCAAACGTCGAACCGAGCACCAAAAACTAGCCTGAACCCTAAACCCCAAACCCCCTAAACTGTCAGGGCCACATGGAAAGGATGGCCTCGAACTGCGTTGGCAAGGACATCGCGGAGGCCATGATCTGGCGAAGATGTGTCTCGCTGAGGCTTTCGGGATTCAGCCTAAACCCCCATACCCTAAACCCCAAAACCCTAAACCCTTAAACCCCTAAACCCTAATAAACCCCTAAGCCCTAAACCCCTCAACCCTAAACCCCTAAACCCCTAAACCCTATAGGGGTTCGACTGTAGGGCTTTTGGGCTTTCGGGTTGGGGGGGGTTTTCAGAGTCACAGGGCTGGTGGGAAGAGGGATTCAGGGTTGAGGTTAGGCTTGCTGAGGGTAAAGCTTGCGGTGCAGGGTTCGTCGTGGGAAGAGGGCCTGGAGGAGTTACGGCCTACGGTTGATGATAGAAATCCTGCATTACCCATAATAAGGAGTATACCATAATTCCCATAGCTTAGGGTCCTTAACTTAAGGTAATGCAGGATTTCTATCATCAACAGTATATAATATAAAAGTTTAGTGGGGCAGGGCTTGGAGGCCATCCTGTGGTGTTCTTCCTTTCTTACAATCCCTACCTGCCCCAAAAACCTAGAAAAACTACGACACTGATTCAGGGGGCCTGCAAGACTTGGCGAGGCTTAGAGCTCTGAAGAGAACGTGTTCGTGTCATCTCTAGAATGGAACCCCGCGTGCACGTGTAGGGTTTAGGGTTTAGGTCTAGGGTAATGCCTAAACCCGAAGCCCTGTAGGCACCCTCATTCCAGCAGCACTGCATACAGTGCCAATCCTGACGACATGAATCTCGCAAGCTTCGCTCAACCAACCCTTCCCACAAAGAAAAAGTGCACCTTTACCCTGCACTAAACCCTAACCCTAAACCTAAACCCTAAACCCTAAGCCCGAAACCCTAAACTACATCCGATCTCCAGGGTTGTCGTGTTTAGGACTTGGGGAAACGGCCCCGAGCGCACCGAACAAGGATGGCTTTGATAGCGTTGGCGTTCGCCCTGTTCAGTCACTCAGACTGGTTGCTTGAAGCCTGGAAATGCTGCGACGAGACAATGATATATGATACAGTATGATATAGTATGAAATCATGCGAAACCCTACTCCACGGAACACGCGTGTTACCAAAACATTCTCATTCAGGAATTCACGCTAAACTTTGCTAAACCGAACCAGGAGAATGCCCGGAATGATTGAATCCTAAAACGGAACTTGCACCGGTTCAACTCCCTCGGAGACCATACCCAACAACCCAAAACCTTCACAGCCTTGAGGCCTTCACTTTGCTTGGAGGTTTAGGGTTTAGGGTTTGGGGTTTAGGGTTTAGGGTTTAGGGTTTAGGGTTTAGGTTTAGGGTTTAGGGATCGAAACACAGACCTGCCAGGCAGTACTCAATAGCCGGGTTTTGGCCACGTGCCTGCGTGCAAGAGGTGGAGAAAGGTATGGTAGAGACCCTGGACGCTCCAAGTGTTGGTCCTCCAAGCTACATGATTCAGTACAACTACAGCAGAGGTTTGCGTAACCTGAATTCCCAACCAATGAGCCTTAGATCCTCAAGCCGGGAATCCAAAATCCCAAACTCCTGCAAACCTAAACATCCCTAAACCCTAAACTTATAAATCCTGAACCCCCAAAATTCTAAGCCTCTGAACCCTCGAAATGTCTCCCGACACGGACCCTAAAGAAGCTACCTGTCTAAGGATGTACAAGTTAAAAAAAAGAAAAAATAATCAAGAACCCCATTAAAAAAAATTGGGGTTCTTTAGGGTTCAGGTAGGCCTTAGGGGGTTGGAAGGTCCAAGAACCCCCGGAAAGAGCTGCAATGAGGTCCCTGCGCTGCCGGGGGCAGGGTCTTTGCACGCGGCCTCGACCTTTCCGAGGGGTCTAGGCGTGAGGGTTTGGGGCATTGGGGCTTGGGGTTTAGGGTTTGGGTTTTTAAGGTTTCAGGGTTTAGGGTTTGGGGTTTCAGGGTTTGGGGTTTCAGGGTTTGGGGTTTCAGGGTTTAGGTTCTAGGATTTAAGGATTGGGCCTGTGGGTTTAGTAGGCCAGGCACCCTTGCAGAAGACCCCTAACAAGGAGGAAGATTCCTTGGGTACAAGCGGTCTTGAGTCCTGAAGACCTACCACCCCACCTTCTCGCCGACGCACTCGTCCAAGAAGGTCACCGGCTTTCCAAGCAGCTCCTGTGACAGCCAAGTTTCTGGATCTATCGGATTCTATTGAAGATAAGGTTTCTATAAAGGCTCTATGAGAAAAGGTCTACACAGAGTATCACGGTGCTTCGTGACTAAGGCTATAAAGACGGTGGACTGTACAACTTACCACCCCAATAATGGAAGAGTATCCCCCTGCAGGCCCTATATATATATTTTTTTTTTTTAGTGTAACATATCCCGAGACCCCAGTCCAATGACTCATGCCCCTGTATAGAACCCTTTCAAATCCATGTAGAGCACCGTTAACACCCTATTAAAGCCTTAGGAAACTTATACAACCCTGAACTCTAGCTCACCCTTCCGGAGTCGACGTGGCTGCACTTTTTGGTGGAGTTCTGGCAATCGATGCTGCGACGAGGCCCGCCATGTCCTTGGCAAGATCTAAGGTTCAAGGTCTAGAGATGGGGGCTTAGGGTGTAGATTGTGTGCTCGACGGCTTCGGATCTAGCTCTGCCACCAAAAGAAGAGGAGTTTAGGGCTCAGGACTTGTATGGGTTTGGGCCGTTTGGGGTTTTAGAGTTTAGGGTTTGGGACTTCAGGGTTTGGGAGTTTGCGCGTTCGCGTCTGGAGTCTTGATTTCGGAGCCCGTTCCTTTAGACCAGCTCCTTAAAACGTTGCGAGTTACAAGATCCAGACAAGAAGAACCCGAAGATCCGAACGACCCAAACTCTGCATTGATTCCCCGCTTCGTTTTCTTGCTTGCGACCATCAGAAGTCGACGGCAGTAGGGCTGCAGGATTCTAGACAATTTGATCTGAAGCTCTGTGCCATGCTTTCTTGGGTTCTTGTTAGGAAACTTAGTTCAAGTTACCAAATAGGATCTATAAATAATACGTAAATAATGATCTGGCATCCTTCTATTAGGGCAACTCGAATTAAATTCCGTAATAAGAACCCACCGTCTTACGGAGGCCGTGGGTCGTGCCAAGTGCTTTGGGGTAGCACGGGGTCTCGGAGAGAGAATTCAGGGTTTGGGGTTAAAGGTTTAGGACAAAAGGTTTAGGGTTTAGTGTTTCAATATAGGGAACTGAATAATAATGACGTTCCGTGCACACTCGTCCAATGTTTTGCTATGCAGCGCAGCGGCTCGCTCCATGGGACACAAGCCCCTAGTATGTTGGAGATCCCTAGCACAAGGGCCGCCCGGCGGCGCGCTAAACAGCGAATGCACATGGCATTTGGGGACAACACCTCCCGCATGCCAAAACGGCACCCAGCGCCTCTACCACACCCGCCAGGAAAGGCGCAGGGCAGTCGCTCACGCACCCAGTGAGTGTGGGAAGAAGCGTCGGAGGGCGGGAGAAAGTTTCGCCCAACGGCAACTGCAATAAATGAGAAGAAACAAGCACGACACGTGCACATCCAAAACACGCAGGTGACTCCGGGAACACCCCACACACACGGCCATTTTGGTTTGTGAGAGCAAGCAACATGGGAATCAATATGCAAACGACCGACGCGGCGCAAGAACGAACCCTGTGCACCGAGCCTGTCCAAAGCACAGAACAGTAACAGAGTTGGGTTTGGTGTATATGATGGTGCTATTTCGCAGGGCCAGCTGGCGACCGTGCAAAGTAACACGATGCTGGCCGTCAGCTGCGTGTCGTCCTCCCTTAAACCCTCAATCCTAAACCGCTAAGGTCATGAGTCATGATGGCTTCTCAGGGCTCTGGGACTCGGAGCAACAAGCACGAAGTCAGGAGCAGTCTCCGCTGAAAACTCACCCACCAAGCTTCCTAACGAAGAGCCTTGAAGTCGCAAACGGGTTTTTATAAGCACTTCTATGGTGATCTACAGGGGTTTAGTAAGGGTTTCAGAAGTGCTTTGTTCTGTTTAGGAGCCTGAATGAGTGCAACGGGTTTGGGGTAGATTGTACTACAGTGTTTATGGGGCCAACAAGTGATATATCTGTGCCCTTAACCTTAACCCCAAACCCAATGCCCTAAACCCTAAACCCTGAACCCCAAACCCTAAACTCCAAACTCATGCTCGAGAGTCCGGTAGGTGAGGCGAAGAGAGGACAAACTCGTGCTTCGGTGGCCTACCAGCCTTCCTGCCATAGGCTTTGAGGCTTAGGCCCCTTAGGGCCTAGTGTGCCGGGTTCAGGGCTAAGGGATTCGGGTTTAAGGTTCACGGCATTTTCTCATTCTGCGTGTAACTTGGTACACTTCTCGGTTGTTCGGCTTACAGTTTCGGGCCTAATTAGGGTTTTAGGCTGCAGGGTTTCGGGTTTAGGGTTTCGGGCTTAGAGCTTGGATTTTAGGGTTTCAGTCGCGACGTCTAAGAGTCTATGGCATCGCCAGCGCACGCGCGCTTAGCGCCGGCATCCGTTTCAAGAACGGATGCTTCCTGCCTGCAGCTGAGTGCGAAGAGTTAGCTTCGTGCTCCGTACCGCATTCGTTCCCTTCGGAAGGTGCATTACGCTTCCAGCGCATGATAGTTGCTATGAAACTCCATTGCCCTAAAGCCTATAGGGTCTGGATCCTAAACGGCTCGTACAGTTCGTATGCACGGGCGCTTGGACCCATTTTGCGCGGCGTCCACGAATGGCCATGTGCACGGCTGCCGTGGTTGGGCTTCACATGGCCGGTCGGGCTCGAAAAAACCCTACAGTGAGAACCTTCAGCCCCGTTGTGCGAAGCATGATCTCTTGCGGGGCTACGGAACAGAGCGGAAGCGACCTCAAACGGTGGCCGGTATCATCTTGTTCACCTGTGCAATGGACGCACCCATGAGGCAGAGCTGCAGCGAATGAACCCAAATGATTGTTTTGCTTCTTGCAGCAAAAGAACTTTCCGATATTGCGGTTGTCCAAGCGGGTGACACATCAACCGATACACGATAGCCTTTTTAT